TAACATTATGACCAATATTAAAAAATTAATATGAATAAATATTTAGTTTCCATTTTAAAGCATGATGGCATAATGCTCGACTGAAAATTATTGGTCCATAATTACAATAGTTGATCAACTCTATGGTACTGTGATAGCTTACTTTTTGGCTGTTAAAAGAGTTCAGAAGAAAGAACTTGGTAGATCCGGTACTTACTAGAGAAAAATGTGGTGGTAATCATGTTACGGTACAATCAAATCAATTAACACTTATCTGAGCAAATTAAACTAAATGTATGGTCCAACACTGAACTGGTTGTGGAATGCATGTGTCATTATGACTGAACTATGTTGAGGAATGTATGTTATACTGCAGTGTTATTAGTGCAATCATACATATGTGTCAGTTGTAGCATGCTAGAATGATTATTTAGCTTCCAATAAAATAACAAATTATACAATCTATAATCCCATGTAAAAAGTTTTCATATGATTAAGACAAGCCTGTTTATTTTAAAACAGATGTTAATTTGTGATCAAACTGTGTATATAAATAACACATTAAAATTCTACCAACTCAGACAAGGCTGAAACTTAAAGTGTGAAATTTCATAGAAAAACTCAAAACATCTCATCATCATCATTGGTAGAATATTATATGTTAACAAGAAAATCCAAAATTCATTCTTGGATAATTTTCTAAATTCAGTGTAAATAACTATGTACATGGATGGCAGTAATATTTTTATACGAGTTGATTTTAAATAAAGAAATAAATCAAGAGCACTCGCCAACTGTGAAAGATTAAATTTATCAACACAGGATGTTTTGGATATATCTGTTATTAGAATAACAAGCCAACAGTGAGGCTGATGTCCCCCGCAGAAATCCCAAAATAAATAGATGACACATATTAATCGCACATTTATTTTTTTCAAAAGTTTCGAGCAATCAAACTACACACCAAGTTTCATCACTCTATCAGATATAGAATCAAGATTATCTTGTCCCAAAGCATCGACCAATGAAATTGATTAGCTCTACTTAGCTTTAGCTTGAAATGTTAATCATTGAAATCAGTCAAGACATTCACCTAATGAACATCTACATTAGGTTTAAAGTTTAAACATTCTACCTCAATTAAAAGCAGAGTTTTTATGTTCCAAAGTCTTGACCAATCAAATTGCTTATCGCTCCTTAGCCCAGGCAGAAAATTCGTACAATCGAACTTAGTCAAGGTAATGATATAATGAATCTATATTCAGAGTTTCACCGCTCTCACTTCATTATAACCAAAGTTATCGTGCCCCTAAAGCATAAACCAATCAGATTGCTTATCTCTGCCTACCGTAAACAGAGAATGTTTATAATCGAACTCCATCAAGGCATTGACCCAATAAAACACCTACACCAAGTTTGAACATTCTAGCTCAATTAGGAGAGTTATTGTGTTCCAAAAATCTTGGCCAATCAAATTGCTTATCGCTCTGCTTACCCTGGGCAGAAAATGCTCATTATCGAACTTAGTCAAGGTATTGATGTAATGAAACTATACACCAAGTTTCATCACTCTCACTTAATTAGAACTAAAGTTATCGTGTCCCAAAGCATCAACCAATCAAATTGCTTATCTCCGCTTACCCTAAGCGAAAAATGCTCATCTTCGAACTCCATCAAGGTATTGACCTAATAAACACCTACACCAAGTTTGAACATTCTAGCTCAATTAGAAAGTTATTGTGTCCCAAAAAGTGTGACGGACAGACAGACGGACAGATGGACGGACAAAAGGCGGGGGACAATTACTGTGACCTGCTGGAGATTTTAGATGTGTATTGAAAGTAATGTGAGCTGCTAGAGATCAAGATTAACGGCTTATTGTGACCTGTAGTACTCTACTCTAACATGATAGCTGAGTTTATCAGTCAGTGATTAGTATTATTGTTACCATTATCACATTAAATTATTTTACTTTTAGGAGGGTTGTTGAGGTTAACAAATACCAGATATAACTGACTTATGCAATCAATCTGTACTGTTCTAGTACAAACATTTTGGGTGCAGAAAAAAACTTATGCATTTGTCAATCTCATAAGAAAAAAGCCCCAAAAAACAAGATATAAAAAAAACATAAAGACTGCTCTACATGCATCAACAAGTACTGTAAACTTCATATAAGTCGGATCTAAATGGACTGACCAATTTTATCCCAGTTACACAAAGATCTGTTTAGCCGAAGACCTAGTTCACCTCTGAACACAGGTCTCATTATCGAAATAAAATCAGTTCCCAGTCAATTTTATTGGGCATATTTTTACTGTAAACGGTTGTGTGTCAGTCTTTGTGAACGCCTGAACAATGTAAAGGAACATTTTAGTGAGAAAATAAGACCTTGCTTACCTCGCTAGAGTCAGTATTGTGCAACACAACATGCTGTTAAAAATCCGTCCCCTTCTGCTAAACATTGAGGTCTAGATGTGGGGTGGCGTACAGATTTACGTGGCTTAGCCATATAAGACAAGACGAAATTTAGGTAAGCTCGGGTGGGGAAAAATTAGAATCACTGAAAAGCTGAGAAACTTCAGTCAATCATTGCTTTGCCTAGCCCAATTACAATCAAATTTTTTCAAAAATTCCAATTACGTTTCGTCTTATATAGCCGAGTTGCGCAAATTTGTGCGCTGCCTGTATTTCGATTTTAATGACGTCAGCCAGGCCGTATTTTTAACAGCATGTTGTGAACATACTGCTGATCCGTCTTAGGCGAAGGAAAAAAGCCGGAATTAGATCAAATGGACAGAACATTTTGATCAGAGTTAAGCGAAGATCCGAATTACGCTCAGAAATTTAATAAGAACATGCAGGATCAAAGGGTTCAAGGGATTTTATCAGAGTTGAGCGAAGATCCGACTTATGCGAGGTTTACTGTATTACCCAAATTTAAAACTATTGTATTGCGGAATTGGGATTGGAATGTGTGCAAAAACTTGAAGCCTAAGTCATCAAATACCAACTCAGACAAGGCTGAAACTTAAAGTGTGAAATTTCATAGAAAAACTCAAAACATCTCATCATCATCATTGGTAAATGATTTGTTGTCTGAAAAATTTGTAGGTCAGTGTTTGTGTGTCCATGTGTATTTTTTATTACTATTACCAGAAAGAAAATGAAATGGGGTTTAACATCTTACTGTTTTGCTCAAACTGGGCTAATGAGGGAAATTTTGCCCGGACAGCGGCGCTTTGGACAACTTATATCGAATTCCAATTGCCAAGGGATCTTTTATGCGCACTCCAATGTGTACATGGAGCCTGAATATTTCGCCCCTTCCGAACTACTAGACAGCTGTCAGGCCCTTCGTCCTGCACCACTGACAAGGAGGAAACCACGGCAGAAAATCTTGAACTTTCTCGGTCAACACCGGGAGTGAAACCCACAACCTAGAGGATAGCCAGCCAAAGTTTTACCCACTTAGCCAATGTGGCTCCTAACCAGAAAGAACTAAAGTCAATATCTATATGCCATACCTTACACCCTTGCTCCATATGTATTTATTTAATCTTGTGTCCACTCGAACATCTGGGGTTTTCATCATTTTAAGAGCAAATTTTCTTATTTCTTTGATAGCTCTTGGAGCTTTCCTTTTGCAGGAACTGAAAAAGCAAATAAGCAATTAGCAACTGCTAATCATATGACAAAATGCAAACTTTCAAAATTCAAACAGTAAAAAATACCTTATTCCTAGCATATCAACACTAATCAATAACCTAACACTAATCAATAACCTAACAGGAAAGTCTTGTAGTACTTGAAAGTCTAAATGGACAGTTGAATATATTGGTTTGTCGAGAAACAGACCTGTTGTTTAATACTAATGGTAGTTTTGTAAACTTACTTTTCAAGCATAGAAAAATAATTTACATCTGATTAGCCTTTATAAAGACAAGTTAAACCCATACCTGATGATGTCATAATCATCCATAATCAAATATTGACTGCCAAGACTTTGTTTGAATGTAGCAATTTTCAGTTCCACTATTTTATGAGTTAATTCTGGTGAACCAGTTATAATCTATGCTATATAAGTTTATGTTTTTGATCGGTATTCAGTATAAGGCTTTATGCCACTGCTTGCTTTGTTTGAGAGATGTTTTTTGTTCAGAACATACTTACACGCCATGAATATATTTGTGAAGGTGAATTGTCACCTCTCGGGTGATAACCTCATTAGCAACGGACTTCTTTTTATCCTTCTTGTCACGAGGTGCCATGACTGAAAATAATCAAAAATCATTATCCCACCAAGATGCAATTTCATTTTCTTCAGTAAAGTGAATTGATCCCAGAATCAATCCACAATTTACATTTAGGCATAGACAGAAGGTGTCATGCCTAAATGTAAATTGCTCCATTTTACATTTTTAGGACTTATGCTACAGAAAGTGTAATGACATTTCAGACAAGGCCTATGTCATGTGGATGTTTGAAAGAGAGAGAGAGAAATGGGGTATAATGTTTTGACACAAACTAGGTCATTTCAGGACCAACGTGGTTCAATTTTATTTCAATAATTCTCTGGCACGTAGAGTACCCGGAAAAAAAACATGAAGCTGGACAGGCGATCCTTGTCCTTGTCGCATACAAGCTGGGAATCAAATCCATGCCACTTAACATGACAGACCTTATGATCAAATACGCATGTGTTAAACTATTCGGCCACCCAACCACCCTGTGGTTAAATTAATGCTCTGGCTCCTGAAATTCCACTTGTAGAACAACTTCTCTAATACTGACCATAGGGGCCTTGTTATCCGCTCTCAAATTTAACTAGACACATGCATCACATTGACACTGCTTACAAAATTAGGCCTCGAAAAGCCAGAAAGAAAATAATCATAAATTTAAATGGTTATCACTGTCTTCCAAGCAACTAATAAGTGCACGCAATTGTAAAGAGCTCCGATACCAAGAGGCTGAAGAGGTTTATTTGTACCTTAAAATTGTTCCGATGTTTCTGCATGGACCTAAGGTCCATGGTTTCTGTAAGAACGCCTGGCCATAATCATAAGCATGTTGTGAACAGGGATCTTCACCTCAATGTTTACGTGTAGATGGTAGCGGAATGATGGACGTTCTGGACAGGTGATTATGCCAATATCGAACAATATCGTTAGGGTAAACAATAAGGTACATGCTAGTTGAATTGAATTATAATATTTTATTTGATAAAAGAAAGGATTGGTGTGGATTTGACATGTGACAGTATTTTCCACTTACTCGTTGGTAATGGCCGAAGCTGAAAAGGAAGTGGATAGGCATCTGGGATTGAAGAATCGCATCAAGGGAGATAATGCATAAGGAACGCACTTTCGTTAGTTTCAAAGCACCACATAAAAGACGATGAAAATGAATAAGTTCACCAAAAAGATCCAATAGATCCTAAAAATATTTATGTTGGTTTTCAATTCCAAGTGAATCAATCCCTTAGATATCTCATTAAATACGGATTTATTTATTTGTAATTTGAGAAAACTGTCGCCCCAAGGTAGCCGTATCGATAGCAGACAGGTCAGAAAATCGTCTTATGAAACAGATCAAAATGAAATAAGACGATCTTTATTTTATCAGTAATAATTTAATAGGTGGTTTAATCGATTGATTTGATTTCATTGTACACAGTTTGTGAATATTATTTAGATTAGTTCGACTGTTTTTGGAATAATATCAGAATTTGGGTAACACATCCATCAAATTCTAACTACCAAAACTGATATTACAGAAAATAAAACGAAAGTAGAAAAATGAACACTTGTATTCTTAATCCTTCAAAATGTCTATTATATAAATTATCGACAAATCAAACGGCCATTAGATTCCTACCTCAAATAAGACGTTTTTCAAAGACACAAGATCCAAAATGCTTCAGCGTAAAACTAAAATCAAGAAGTCTAGTACAAGTGTGTGGTAAAGATACTCTCAATTTTCTTCAGGGATTATTTACAAGTGATGTTAATCTCTTGAATGATAATGTCAGCCAATATTCTATGATGCTTAATGTACAGGGAAGAGTGTTATATGACTTATTGTTATACAACATGTCAGCAAAAAAAGAGACAGCAAATATATGGATTGAATGTGCAAGTGAAGTGAAGGACGAATTTATTCAAACCATGAAAAAATACAAAATAAGGAAGAAGGTTGATATTAGTGACATAAGTAAATCTGCATATGTTTATGCCTCACCCAATCAAAATTTGACTCTAATGGAAGATTCTGTCAAATTAACAACCCCAGACCCCCGATTACCTTCCTTAGGAAATAGAATTATAGTGACAGAAGATTTGAAAAGCACTGACAATATGTGTGTTTATTTAGAAAGCGAACAATATTACCGTGAACACAGATATAAATTAGGCATTGGTGAAGGAATAACCGATTTACCTCCAGGAAGTTGTTTCCCATTAGAAAGTAATCTAACTTTTCTTAAAGGTGTTAGTTTTGAGAAAGGGTGTTACATAGGTCAAGAGTTGACAGCCCGGACATTTCACACAGGTGTTACTAGGAAAAGGTTAATGCCATTAGTCTTTGAGAATGTTCCAGCAGGATTCAATCCTGATAGTTCAATAACATCTGAGAAAGGAAAATCCGCTGGAAAACTAAGAGATTTTATTGGTATTTATGGACTTGGTTTAATGAGAGTTGCAGAAACTAAAGGTGACCTCAATATAATAGATATTAAAGGGAATAAATTAAAAGTTAAGGCTGATATACCCTCATGGTGGCCTAGTGAGAATCATATGTTGTGATATTTAGTAGAGATATTATAGGATCTTTGTTTTAATCATTATTGATTAGATTTTTGTATTGTTGTTGTGCATGAAAATGTTGGAGTGCAGGAAGTAGGCCTACCCTTAATTCAGCTCTGAAGTAGATCTCCTTACACACAACCTGTACTTCAGAGCTGAACTAATCTACCTTATATTATATGCAATGTTTACATTTTGTTTATTTAACAAATAAATACTCAAGCTATAATAAAGATTCAAATTAAACAGAATTGCCTTTTAAAGAAGCATTATTCAAAAGCTAAATCTGCCAATTGGAGGTCTTTCTTCAGACCTTAAATGTTATATAAATTATTAAAGATACATAATGGGAGATAAGATAACGAGATGGCAGTTCTCGCTATAGTAGTTAAAAACTAGATAGTGTAAAGGTAATTTGCTGAAATTTCAGTCAAATTGATCCACTATGAGCCGAGAAAAAAGCGGGTGAAATTTTGGCATAGTCTCGGTCATCATTACTAAAATCATTAATATAAACAGCATAGTCTCGATTATCAACTTTTTAAAATTTAATTATCAACGGCCAATAGCGGGATATATGAATCTAATCCAGCCAACATCGAAGGCTAGCCTCGACATCGAGAGTTTATTATGGTCTGGATAAGTTAATTAATGTCTAATTGATAATTTAGATAACATTTCAGGCCTAAAGAAAGACTTGTAATAAGCAGATTTTGCTCTTGCATAATGCATGTTTAATTAGACATTTATTAACATGACAAGACCATAATCGGCATAATCAACTCTCAATGCCATCGGATCGGCCATTTAATGATTTGTTGCTAAAGTGGTGGACACACTTAATCGACGTGGAAATTTGCCTAGTGTGACCACTGTCCTTCGACGGATTGATTCGCCCGAGTCAAACATGTTTGATACATTCGGCTGAATTATATTCGCCTAGTGTGTCCACTTCTCTGAAGCATTTGCCCGATTGTAGAATTCATTAGTTAATTACCACTCATATTGAGAAGTCATGTGATTGTTTGAAGTCATGGTCACTGCCATGTTTAATCATGTGATGTGAAAGGTGATACAATTGACTGGTGAATCAGGCGAAGAATTCATCTGGTGTGTTCACCCATTTGGCTCAATCTGATGCCGATTGATTCGGCTGAACTGATACCATCACAAGAGAAGGAGAGAGGAAATAGGGTTTAATGTCCACTTGACCAAAACTAGGTCATTTCGAGACTAACATGGGTTAATTTTATTTCAATAATTCGTTTGCGCGTAGGGGTCTTAAGCAGTGGGAGGAAACTGGAGGACTCGGAGGAAACCCATGAGGTGGGACAGGCGACGTTACTCTTGTCATGTAAAAGCGGGGAATCGAAAACCACGCCACTTATCTCAATGACAGACCTTATGATGCAACATGTAACCATTCAGCCACCCACCCCCACCACAAGAAAGTGAAATGAAGTTTAATGTACATTCTCACAACTAGGTCATTTTAGGAGAACCATGTAACTTTAACCTACTGGTACATGTACTACTATGGGGTAAATTCTGTTATTGCACCCATCAACCTCAGAGCATATGACAAACAGCAAATCCAATGATTTGACTGAGCTCATAAATTTTGATAGGCCACCCTAATAATTCATCTCACACACAATTATTGTTACAGTGTCTCTTCACTAGAGCATGATCCTAGAATGTAGAGAACCTAAAAATAGAAGATTTTGTCAACCATTTCTAATAGTTTCAAGAAATTATAAAATATGGATCCCTCTTCAAAGCTTGCCAACCACAACCTCATTGGACATTAAATGAGGCCAATAGGGTTGCTAAGAACAGGTTGTGTTACTGAACTCAATTTTTAAAAACATGTACCAAACCTTGCTAATAAGTTAAGTTCCTGGCAACCACAGATTTTTTGAATACAGTTACATGTAGCCTGGGTGTTAGTTAAATATCCATGTCTCAGTATATTAGTTGTCTCTAATAACCCCCTGAACTTTATCACAAAACAGAACAATTCAAAATTAACAGTTGTATACAAAATGCAAGTTTATTGGGAAATAACATCAACATATTTTCTCAAAACACAAAATAAATACATTAGATAGTATAAGAGAGGGGTATTGTTACAAACTATATAGAATGGATACTGGGGGAACTATACGGAATTTACAATAGAGATAGCCCTTTATATAGGACAACATTCATAGGATGTAGAACTATATGTATAATGCCATTATCAAATACATTTACAAACTTACAATAATATAACATGCAAATAACAAATGAAGTTATTTCTTCTTACCTCTTAAATAATGAATGATTATGTCATTTTAAATAGTAACTAGCCAAAAACACAACAAACATCATGTATTACAAATGTGTTTGGGACGAACTTATTTAATATAATGCCTTTATAAAATTATAAAGATTAATAGCACACACACACAAATAAGAAATCCTTCGGACTACAATACCATGTTTCTGAACCTGGGTGAACCAGGTTTGCTCCTCATCTTGAGGACCATTTCAGAAACAGATATAAATAATCCTGAAACAGGTCTTTAACATATGGCAAGATTCATTAAATTAACTAATATCTCGGAATATGTTTTATTTTCACATTCTACAACAGAAAAGAAAAAATTACATAAATTATAAAATCAAAACAAATATTGCATTCTAAAATTAAGACTAGATATTTTCATTTATTGCCACAAATTATTCCTACTATCCTATTCCTGAAACTCGGCCAGAGCATGCAGACCATCAAAGCAATTTTTCTGACCTTTTTGCACTGCAATGCATCAAGTGTTGGGTCCAAACATGCATCTCTGGAAATATGCTATGTGCAGGACAAAGTTTAGCACACTTATTAACTATGCACAAATAATTATTACAACACACGTCATGTAATCGCAAAAGAAAAAAAAAGTATTTGACCACGTCAAATTTAATTAGCAATTAGGTTAGTAATATTGTATTCTTGTTAAAAACAAAACCCCACACACATTAATAGTAAGATGCCATTATTTGGAAAAAGTCTGAAATATGACATGGACAATAATAAAATACATTCCATTACCATCCAATAAAATTTAAACTAAAGAACTTATGTATTAAAGTTTAATATTCATCATAAATATATAATTCTATCATTTCCACATCTTAATTTCCTTGGTTACCAAATTTTTGTGTGGATTAATTTCCAAGCCAACCACTCAAGATACAAACTCAACCACAACAAAAATACAGGTAATTTAGACACAAGTAAAACTTGTTATTAAATTTATCGTGTTAACTGATTTCCAAACCAATTACACAATATTAAGTTTGACCAGTAAGATCGTGAAATAACAGAAAAGCCATAAGTAAAACTGAATATTAAATCCATATTTTAAAGTTATTATATTATATATTGTCATGCACACTAATAAATAAGTAGAATTGTACATGCATAACTATGTATGGATAGTATGGCCCCTTTGCACTAAGCACACCTAAAGCTTTAAAGATATGAGCAGGAATTTATGTTTTAGTTGCATTTTGAACAAAAAAGTACTATACAAAGTAAACATGTGAGTTGAGGTTCATAGTTTATCTGAATCTGGCCTCCTCTATCTACCGATACATACAAGATGTTTCGCATCAACCTCAAAATTATTCCTACAGGTCTCAGAGTGTTTGTATTTATCATCTTAGTGTTGACAAGTGTTGTGGATTTCAAATTCAACTGGAACATATATTAACAGAATATTCAGATTTATATCAATCAAACACGGTCTAGTGCAAGATTAGCAACTCTTTGCATACGTGCTAAAAGTATGCAACAACATTGGAGATTGGTCCTCTGTAAACATATATCCATTATTTAATTAATTAGTAAACAAAATGTTTTTATTATTATGGTTTGCTGTAACAATATATTTTCTATTATTTGAACCACACATAAACAAAACTGTAAAGTGTCTACTCATACTCTCAACTTAACTGCAAGTCTCTATGCATGCCAGCTTCTATAGGGCCCACCTTGCATTGAATGTGTGGTAATATACAATTCAATTAAACATATATGTACAAAATCTAGAGGGAATAATTATTATGCGCATAATTAATATTACACGTGTACAATTTTACAAAAACATACAATATTTCATATATCAAATCAAGCAAAATTGTGAGATTCTTTATCAAGGTAAAAAATAATTACATATTTTCAATCTTTTATAAATTAAAACTTTAATTAAAGCTTACTGACTAGATTTGTGGTAAATACATTATACAATAATAGATTACCAGCTACCTCTACATGTTTTAAATAAGACATACAAAATACTAATGCCAGGCAGGAATGGAGTCAACAGATGTTAGTGTGGTTTAATAAACAAGAACAAGACATTAGGTAATATATCAATATATTACTTAATGTCTTCCTCGAGACCATTAAACAACTTAAAATACAGACACTACCCAGCACCTGCATTTCAATGAAATCGTCAGACGAGTCCAATATATCATCTAGTATAAATAATGTACGACTGGCATGTTGCTCGTACTATGATTTGAAATAATGGTAGTTTATGGTACACCAACATCAACAGATGATGTCACATCTGTATTTTAAAGCCTTTTATTTTATGTGCATGTTTTCTACATTGACATTGTAAAACAAGAAATTAATGCTTTAAATCCAAACCATAGTATAGTGAGCTTCATCATTAGCAATATGCAATTCTTTTTTTGTAGCATAGCCAGGACAAAACAAAATACTCGCTAAGTCAAAACAAAACAAGCTTATTTTGGGACCAATGGTATATCTTTAGTTAAATAATTTATTTGCACATACGTTGTAGCAGAGAAAACCTGTGTGTAGCAGAGAAAACTCATGTGGTTAGGCGGGAAATCCTATTCCGGTTGCAATAATATCATGATGCACTAATTTCTTTATTTTCAACATTGATATTAAAATAATACTGTGAGTTTTCTCGTAGTGTGTAACATACTATTTTTATATATTTAATTAAATCTGACAAGAAATTAATGCTTCACCAAATTAATGCCAGAATAAAGATTAAATAGAAGACTACATGTATACACCAATTTGATTGACAAAATTAATCAAATCAATCAAGTCATTTAAAGTTTACATTGTTTTTTATACTGATTTCATACTGTAATTCTATCTTTTTCATATAAGCCAGCCAATTCTTCAGGAATTTTTTTTTTGAATACTCTGATGTGCTCAGCTCCTAATACAAATAGTGTTTTTATTCAAATAGTACATATTTTAGTTTCCTACGATATATGTGAATGATCCAGCTTGTTTCATAATTTCTTGTTTTACAGTATTAATCCATAACCAAACTGATTTCTCCATTTCATTAAACTGGAACTTTTTGTGGCATGCACATAGGATGATGGTGTAATAATGTGCGTACATATACTTTACATCAACAATTCATGTGTACCAATATAAAAAGTAGGTGCCGTACATTTTACAATAAATAAAGTGTTAATAACAACAATAAAAAAACAATACATAGTACACATGTAGAAAACTTAGGATTCAGAACTATATTTTATTCAGGCATAACAAGTTTAGCCATAGCTAGACTGGCTTCTAATTTTTTGGCCTCTCTTTCATGAATGGTCATGTGACGTTTAAGATGATTTGAGCGTGTGAAGGAATGAGAGCAAATGGAGCAAGTAAAAGGACGAAGCCCTGAGTGGGTTTTCATGTGACATTTTAAACGACTAACTTCTGTAAAACCCTTTCCGCACTGAGCACATTTGATCAGACTGTCTCGAAGATGTATTTTCTTGTGTCGATTGAGGCGTTTTTTGGCTATAAAGCTCTTACCACAATCGCAAACAAATGGACGATCCCCTGTATGCAGACGAACATGAACTTGTAAATAACACTGCTTATCAAACTCTTTGCCACATTCGTCACATGGGAATTTCTTCTTTAAGTTGTGAGATTGAATATGACGTTTATAATGGCCGGGATGACTGAATGCTTTGTCACAATACTGACAGACGAAAGGCTTGATTTCTTCATGGTTGACTTCATCATCTTTTATCTGTACGTGATTCTTCAGTGCCAGATTGGTAGAAAACTTTATACCACATTTACACAAGAAGAGATTGGCAGCTTCGTGTAATTTCTGGTGTTCTTTGTATTTGGGCAAATCTTCAAATATATCTCCACAATCCTGACATTCAATACCAGTGGTGGCACCATTGCTGGATATTGGTGGTTGGAAACAGGAACTCAAATGTTTCTCATAATCTTCACCACTGAAAAATGACTGTAGACAGAAGTCGCAGTGGTGTGTTTTCTTTTTATATTTATGGACATCTAAGTGCACGGTATATTCTTCCGCACTGGTGAATTCCATCCCACACTGAAAGCACAGTGTAAAGAATGGGGGATCCGAGATTTTCATTTTCTCACTGAACAGGTTTTCTCCTGAATGGATTTCTATGTGTTTCTCATACTGGCTAATGTACATAAAGTCTTCACCACAATGGAAGCATAAATAGAGGAATTTCCCCGAACAGTTAGACAAGTGAGCGTGCAATACTGATTGGTCGGAAAATTTCGCTTTACAAGTAATACATTTGAAAATTTTCTGATCCCTGTGTAGAACCAAAAGATGTTCTTCTAAATCTTCAATGTACGTAAACTGATCCCCACATTCAAAGCAGATAAATGTTTCTTCGTCTTTTTTTGCTGGACCCAATTTTTTCTTTGGTTGATCTTCTTGACCATTTGTGTCTTCAGTTTGTTCCTCTTTGATGGGCTTATTCAACACTTCAGACACATCTCCATTAACTGGTGATTTATCACCATTTTTTGAGCTGCAAGTACTAGTCTGAGTAGTCTCCATTTCTTCTTGGTCAACGTGGTTACCATTTTCTGGAATAGGCATTTCAATGGGCTCTGTTTTTACTACTATAGGGGGTTGTTCCTCGACCTTCATGTTTGAGAGATCTGTAGACAGAAAAACACTAACTGTGGTCAAGCACTCCTTACTCTATTCATTATCCTATACAAAAAGACAAAAAAAACCAATGAACATAAAACAAAAATGAATGGAATGAAATGGGGTTTAACATCCTACTGTTCTGTTCTGAATGGGCTAATAAAGATGGGCATCTGCTATAAAGCAGTGATTCTCAACCAGTGTGCCGCGAGAACTTCATTACTGTGCCGTGGAATTTCCTAAGTGTGCCGCGAAATTTGAATGGCACACTAAGAAAATGTGAAAAATCATGTGATCCCAATTGAGTATTCACTAGTGTCTACTGAAAAGCTGTGTTTTTCTTTATGTTGTTTTAGTTATTCTATGTGTCTATGACTAGTCTCTGTCTACGGTTGGATGATGTCTGACTTGCCATGTTTTTATTTTGCAAAATTAAAATATTTCTCATATATATTTAGCCAGGTGTGCGGTTATTTTTCATGTGTTCCATGGTGTGCAAAAAAAGGTTGAGAACCACTGCTATAAAGTATAAGCTTACAGTGTGCTATGAGGGAAATTTTGCCCGGACAGCGGCACTATGGCCTACCCTTATATCGAATTCCAACTGCCAACAGTTCTTTTACGTGCACGCCAATGTGTACATGGGACCTCAGATTTTCGTCCCATCCAAACTACTATACGCTGTCCCTTGCCAGTGGGAGTTAACAGGAGGAACCACAGAAAAACCCTGAGGTTAAAGAGTCGAACCGGTTGGATGAAAACCACACCACTTGACTTAAATGACAGATCTTAGCACTAGTGAGGAAATTTTGAAACACTTATTGATTGCTGTGTATAATTTAATGTCAGTTATGCTTTCATCAGATCGTGCACCTTTGACCATACAAAATTCCCGGGCCCTCCCTCAATCAATCATAACCAGGGCTATATTTTCTGACTTTCCTGTGGTCAAAATAGGTCTCAAAAAGATAGAAGAGGCCTGGATAAAGTCCGATATTTCAGATTATTTATATTTTCTTTAAAATTCAATGGTACCATTAGTGGTATTTAATTTCTGAATATATTTTGCTATCTTAAAAAGTCTTGACCTCATCCATTTGAGTGAAAAATAAAATCATTTATAATCTATTCCATATGATTTGATATGTTGATTTTTTTTTTTGTGGCATAGGTCTTTCTGGAATTTTTTTGTATCTAGAAACTAGTAAGCAGGAGTACTCCTGATTAGGCCTAATCTTTGTTTCAAAACAAAAGGAGCTTGTCTCATCACTAACTGAAATAACACATCACAAACAGACCAACCCAATTCAACATTTTTTTCATGTTTTATCTAAATCATTTACCTACTTTCAGATTCTACCTAAACATGATTCCCTTTTTTATCTACATGTAGCTCTACATATAAAGACAAAAGTGTTGTTCGCTCTTAATCGGCTGATCCATATTCCACAACCTATCCGTGATTACGTGCAAAATAATATAAACAATTCATATCAATAAACCGAATTTATTGTCATGTGTTTACAACATAGAAACGTGTTTTCGCTTTATTTTCATCATTTATTACTGATTGAGTCAAATAGGGACAAAACTAGACAACAAATCGGTCCAACTTTTGAAGAAATGACGGATAAAAATGTCGAAAAGTCACGCCACATACAGGCGTTCTACATTATAATTCGGCTTGGTGCGGCGAGGGGGCTGGGTCCACGTTTTTACCCAACCCGCTTGATTGTTGCTTTGTTCATGAACGTAGTTCATTTAGAATTTAAAAATCAAAAATATTTCAAAATAAATTGTTTTAGGTTACCTTGCATTAATACCCGTACTTTTAAGCTTTCCCACAAGGAATTGGTGGTATAAAAAATTAAATTAATCTCGATATCGCTTCCCTTTTTTCCATGTTGTTGAATCTAATAGCCTCGTTCTGAATATCTAAACTTGTACGGATCGTTTTTAGACTGCGTGTCGTCTTGATTGTGTTATATTAAAAATTTTGTAGTTCAAGATTTTTTTTGCAGCCCTTTCAGCTTATTTAAAAGAAATAATAATAAAAGCTGGACAATAATTTCATAAATACTTTAATAAACAACAACATTACAAAAATTAAAAATAAATAAATAAAAGCATTTCACATCTGAGATCATTTCCTCAAGTGACAAATATAATTTAAAAGAACTTGCTTACTTTCTTTATAAATTGTTGAAAGTTAATAAGAGTTAATTAAGACTCTTCCTGCCACTTTTGTAAACAAAGAATGTAAAATTCAAATAGGTAGATATGTGTGTGCATCATACTTATTTTGAGGATAAATAATTGACAGAAGAAAAAAGTAGAGACAGCATCCACATATACACCATGTTAAAGCATTGCAACATTTGTCTGATATCTTGAGTCCACATACAGACTTTACTGTAAACTGAGAGTGTAACATCTGACTGGCATCCCCCTTTTTGATTTAGGTCAATAACATTGTCAATTTAAATGCATTTTGTGTGATGATTTTAATTGTGAGCTGTCAATCTGTCTTTGTAACACCTGACTGGCATCCCCCTTTTTGATTTAGGTCAATAACATTTTCAATTTAAATGCATTTTGTGTGATGATTTTAATTGTGAGCTGTCAATCTGTCTTTGTTTAAAATTTATGGTCCGTAGATAAACCAATGTCCTTTCAATGCATTTTATGTGTTGATTTTAATTGTGAGCTTTCCCCATGGTTAAATGCAATAACAATTTAGATGAACTCAATTAATCATTTTTTATTTCAGCCTAATTCAAAGCAGTCAAGGACCTTTAAGCACTGATCTATAAATGTATTATATAGTTGAAGATGTGACAACCATGGCACTGACTAAATATGGTGTGTATATAATCGGTTTAGAGAGAAATAAGTTGAACAGAGTATAACAGAAAAAGATTAGAATAAACAGTACATGGTTAAAATGCACATTATTTAATATCCATTTATATTATCCATACTTCTCAAACATGTCAATAATTTCCTGAGTATATATCAATACATAGCATCCAAAACATAAAGACCAGGAGAAATAGTTGTATATCTGACGAATACATACCGGTAACGGTAACCTATTATAAATTTAACAAGGAAAAACTTAACAAAAAAAGATTCAAGTTCTGTGTGTATCTTTAATACAGGCTATGTTGCACAATTCAGGTATGACAGATCTTCCCCTTTTACTATACATGTATATGTCCATAGTTGTACCATCACAATGCCCAAACATTGTAATACTGGATCAGGTGTTTGACAAAAGATATTATATCACTTTTTTTGAATAGCACAGCATTTGCAAGGGCATTCTTTGTATACATATGCATTTTTCTCAAAAATTACTTATTTGACTGAGTTAATTAAAATTTAAAAATTAATTATTTGACTGAGTTAATTAAAATTTAAAAATTCATCAGACATTGAGTGCAGCTACATTAAAATTAAATAGAATAAACACATAAATCAACAATATTACCTCCCTTTTAATTTTAAAATTATAAATCTTTATTAAATAAATAAAATAAATAAAAGTCTCTTATTAAAGTAACACGATAATATGGAAATAATATATAATCTAACTACAGTATATATAATTTGTTCCTAGAGTGATTTTCGTAGTCTTTCACTGGACAACTGATTTGATTCAATCCATTTGAGAATGTCAGGTAATGGTTCTGGTTTGACTATATTGGAATCTATTTCTGCTATCAACTGTTCTGGCGTTATTCCTATCAGCGTCTGTTTAACAATAACTATTGCACAAATAAATTTATCACTGCAACGCACAAAAGTCTGTTCAAAATAAAACGATTTCTCATCCCAATATGATATCTGAAAAGCAAAATAAAAATTTTGCATAGTAAATGTTTTAAAATATAGTCAAAATATCAAAATTGAAAATCACACCGTCTGATTTTTTTTCCACTTGCAGACACAGACCAGCAGAGAATAAAAGGCTTAATTATATATTATATCGAAGAGAGTTCACCTTTTCTCTAATATTTTCTGATGACTTACAATGTCTATCTGTCTGTGGAGCCACAGTACAGCAGTGAGTAAGGCACTGGGTCACTAATCAGGAAGTCTGAGATTTAATCACAGCGTTGGCAGCGAAAATTCCCTAAATTTTTCAGCTTAGTTTCCCCTTGTCGACAGTAAAAGATGGTGGCCGTGCACGTAAAAAAACAGTTGGAATTTGAAAAAAAAGAGTAAGCTGTAGAGCCACTTTCCGGGAAAAATGACCCCCATAGCAAACCAAGATTCCGTATACATAGTTACAGTACACGTAAAAGAACCCTCAACAGTTGAAACTTAAGGGTACACTGTGGCACAGTTGCCAGGCAAAACTTCCCTCACAGTACACTGCATGGCGTATGGCAAAGAAAAGTAGGATATTAACCCCATTTTATTTCATTTCTGTCATGGTTTTCCAGACAATTTTTGTAGACAGACGTAGACCATGGACTTGCTATCTATATCAGTAGTCAATGTATGTAGCTACAATAATGAGTGCAGAAATGCCCGCAACCCCTACCCCCACACTAACAGTGGTACTATTTTTATTTTTTTTACATATAAAACAGTTAAATACAGCCTCGTTTATTTTAGTAAGCAATCTGGAAAGCATATCATCATTTTCCTTTTTTTACTGTATGTGTTGAATGTTTGATACCTTGGTGTGTATATCATATCTATCAAACAACTCGATAGATTTTCTGTATCTTATATTGTTGCCACCATTTGTCATAGAACCTCCCATGCTTCTTACTTTCTTCCACCAAGATGTTCTTATCCAAAAATCAAATCTTGCAAAATCACATTCTCTTAGATATCTGCTATTGTTCATATGAAGTACAAAGTCTAAATCTGTAGTTAGGCATATTCCTATCAAAAAATCAATAAAATCTTCATTAAATAGAGCTAAATAAGAGAAGTACAATCCTTAATCATATCAAGACTAAAGGTCATGAATGAAATTAAGTGGCTCAGTGGGTAAGGTGCTAGTTCACTGACCAGGAGGTTTAAAGGTCAATCCCTGTTTTGGCTGAAAAAACTGACCTGGAATTTGTCAGTTATGCAGGACAGAGGTCCTTGCGCAGAAAAGTGTCCAGTTGTTCGGATGGGACAAAAAACATATGTCCATATGTGCACATTGGCGTGAACTGTGCACGTATAGAACCACTAGTTGGAGAGAGATGGGGTTTAATGTCCACTTGACACAAACTAGGTCATTTCGGGACTAAGACATGGTTCAATTTTATTTCAATAATTCGCTTGCGTATAGGGGTCTTTAGCAGTGGGAGGAAACCGGAGAAAACCCACAAGGTTGGACAGATGACCCTACTCCTTGTCACATACAACCGAGGAATCAAAACCACACTAGTTGACTCAATGACAGACCTTATATGATACAGCGAAAACGCGCTAACCATTCGACCATCCAAACCCCGCTCTAACAGTTGGAATTCGAAATATGGGTAGGCTGTAGCCCCACTGTCCAGGCAAACTTTCCCACATAAAACAATGTGGTGTGTGCTTGTCTTCATTAGCACAGTCAGTGCAGAACAGTAGGATGTTGAACCCCATTTCTTTTTATAAAGTTTACAAGTTTTCTGTTTCTTTTTGCGATTTCTTGCATAAAGTCTGATTGTATGAATAAAGAAATAGATCAGAAGTAAAAAGGAGCACAATTGACAGGCCTACTTCTCAACTAAAATTTCTCCTCTGCATTCAGCATGAGAATTCTGACATAATCAGCTGTCACCACAATTTCTTCAGTGTACCCTATATATTTTTGTTTGTAAAACTATCAGAGTGTTTTTCGTTGAGAAAATAATTAGAATTTTCTTGTACAACCAAATATTGACAGTGGCAGGGAAAACCTCTCCTCTTACCATACATAAATAAACGATGGACATTATAACTATTATTAGGGTCCATGCTTATACTATAGACACTGTTAGAAAGATTGATAAAATCGTACTTTGACTGTCCAAATTCCGATCTTCCTGTCCTCTGCGATTCTCATATTCATTCTGCCTTGGTGGATAATAATTATTTATGCTACCGGTACCGGTAATTATTATTATTATTAATTTCTACAACTTGTACAAGACCTACCTGGTAAAACACATTCGTCCAGAATGTTTTTCTGTCTTCTCCAAAAAGCATAGATAATGACAAATGCGCCTCTAACGAAATAGTAAACATCAAAAAAAGGAAACAATATTAAAATCAACCATGGCAAATAACAAATCATTGCTGGACTTACTCTTGACTTCGTTGTGTCTAAATGCTAAATGCTGAGTGCAAAGGTTAGGCCTATCTCTAAAGGGAGACAATAAGTTTTGAGGGGATCAGACTGGCTTACTTTCCAACCGATTTCCTTGTTAATTAATCCAATGCCCTTCCTTGGCCTATAAGGTTTATTTTATGAATATTCTTATTATCTGAATCTTTATAACCACAAAAAACGCAAAATATATGATAAAAATCATGAAGGTGGTTGAGCACCCCTGCTGTATTTTTTTTTATTTAATTAAATTACATCAGTCTTTATTCTTTTTATTCATGAGATGGAGTTGGCCTATTAGAGACTTTTGGCAAGGGGAATTTTTCCCATCCGTATCACGTATCTGTATCTTCACGTGATACGCTGCGTCAAAAAGCTTATTTCTATTACAGCATGACGGCAGTTCTCTACCACAAATTACTGAAGGGAGTAAAGTCCCTGACACTGACAGTCGCTGAGCTATTTAAAAAACAAATTAGGCCTAATGTCGAACCTTTTTAAAAATCTTTGATTTCGACTCAGCAGCAATGTTTGGTTTCACTAATATATATTTACTGATTACAGAAAGTTTATACCTCTTTACCATAGAATCACATCATTTACAGATTTGCAAGGTCCTACCTCCCTAAATTTAGAGCGTAGATCAACCAGAATGCAGACAGACAGGAAAAATATGAAAATTCAGAGAAAAACTTGTCAAAAAAATGATTAAATTCCAGTCTTTATCACGGTTAAAATCACATCAAATATACAGTGTTCTAGGATACACTCTTTACCATAGAATCACATCATTTACAGATTTGCAAGGTCCTACCTCCCTAAATTTAGTGCGTAGATCAACCAGCATGCAGACAGACAGGAAAAATATGAAAATTCAGAGAAAAACTTGTCAAAAAAATGATTAAATTCCAGTCTTTATCACGTTTAAAATCACATCAAATATACAGTGTTCTAGGATACACATAGATTCATAAAAAAGCTATAGCAAAACATTTCAGGGTCTAAAAGTAGCAAAATAGACGGTAAAAAGGCGATGATGTTATACAGACCTTTTCCGTATGAAAGCTGTTTGATACGTGCTGCCGTATCTGTGTGCCGTATCACGTATGAGAAATACACACACATTGATGACGTCACACGCAAAGTCGATATGGATACACGATACAGACCAGGAATTTATGCTTGCCAAAAGTCCCTAATGTGTATTAGCATAGCCTTCATGTCATTTTATTAACAAGAGAGAGAGAAATAGGGTTTAACGTCCACTTGACACAAACTAGGTCATTCTGGGACTAACATATGGTTCAATTTTATTTCAATAAATCACCTGCACATGGGGATCTTTAGCAGTGGGAGGAAACCAGAGGACCCGGAAAAAACCCACGAGGTTGGACAGGTGACCTTACTCCTTGTCATGTACAACCTGGGAATAGAAACCACACCAGTTGACTCAGACCTCATGATACAATGCGCAGGCACTAATCATTCGACAAAGTCTGATGACCCTAAACAGATGATTAATAAGGCATGAGAATGTAATTGAAAACAAATACGACAGGGATGACTTTGAGACTTTCAGATTGAAATAAATCATCGAGAATATGGACCATTTAGTAAAGTATTCATAAAAAGCATCTCATTCTTTAATAGAGTGATATTACTACAAATTTGCTACATCCCCAACTATAACAGAACAATAAAACTGGATCCATTTCTGTTTTTTTTTTATAAAATGCTATTTTCACATGTTCAATGCTGAGAAGGAGAAATATGCCCATACAGCAGCATTTTCAACTAACCTACTCTTCGTCAAGGATTCTTTAATGTACACAGCAATGTGTAGGCCTACACTCGTTTTTCTAATTTGATATGTTTATAATGGCTAGGTCGCAGGTGAAGTGGAGTCATTCTTTCTGTGAAAAGAAAGCTAGATGGTTGACAGCTAGACAAAATAAGAAATACAAGGCCCTGTTTTTTGTTATTTTTCTTTCTAACCCTCTAGAGATTTGCAGGTTTTTAAGAATTTTAATAACTTCCAACTATTTCTTCCTCATTAGGAGTTCTTTTTGCCACTGCACTTGCTATTTAGTTAAACGAGAGGGCTACAATGCAACAACCCTGTTAAAATTAATGCTTGATCCTCACATAAAAACAAGCTAAAGATCTTGCTTCAAGAATCTGTTATAGCAGAAATTAACACATCAAGGTTGTTCCCAATTTTATTTACAAAATCAAAAATAATATCAATAAATTTCCAAAATAATATTGCTCCCACGGTTATCCCACAATTGAAAATACTGATAAAACATATATACCTAACATGAAATCGTTTAATATGAATCACAGATAATGAATACATGTATGTGCATCATGAAACTATCAATATTTTGGTCATAAATGAAGGAGGTTTAGGTCCATTAAAATAATGTATGTGAACCTGTCAATTAAAAAGGATTTCTCTTTTGATTAAAGATTATTTCTGATTTCCAAAGAGTAATTAGTACGAAACCATACCTCACATAAAAAAAAGAATAATAACAAAAATTAAAGTCACTGAATGTCATTTGCATTTTGTGGACAATATCTAATGTTTCACAACCTAATCCACACTAAAACTGATTATTTAAAGGACCATTATGTAAGATTAAAGCCTAGCTCACAACCCACCGTACCTGGTTACATGCACGGGTGGGGTGGGGCGGTGGATGGCCGAATGGTTAGCACATGGTTTTGAATCCCTGGTTGTACGTGACAAGGTGTAGGGTCGCCTGTCCAACCTCGGGGCTTTTCTCCGGGTCTTCCGGTTTCCTCCCACTGCTAAAGACCCCTACGCGCAAGCGAATTATTGAAATAAAATTAAACCATGTATTAGTCCCGAAATGACCTAGTTTGTGTCGAGTGGATGTTAACCCCATTTCTCTCTCTCTCTTTTGTCATGCACGGGTCGTAGGGTTTGGCATCTCACAGACCAGCCGCAAAACCAGCTGCAAGAGACCGTGCCAAACACAGGCAAGTGAAGGCTAAGTCTCACGCACAGGTTTACTAAAATTTCCCCCGTAGACTGTCTGTAGCAGCACGGTTGTGAGCTAGGCTTTCGATAAAGTGCTGACTGTATTTCTCTATAATATTTCAAAAATAGATAATACATATGGAACATATTGAAAATTTCATTCAAATTACTTTATTTTGAGTGAAGTTATCAATGGTTGTAGTTTTGGCAAGATGTGTACATTGATCATAACCACCGAACTGGTCATTCAATTCTTAACCTCGCTTCTCCATTTATAAATTAAATCATTAAATGGTTGAACTGTTCTAATCTACTTAAAATCGGAGCCATCCAATGGCATTGAGAGTTAATTATGGTCTTGTCATGTTAATAAATGTCTAATTAATAATTTATATATATTAAGGCCCAAAGAAAGGCCGGCAATAAGGCAGATTTAGCTCTTACATAATGCCTGTTTAACTTTTAATTAAGAAAACAATATCAAAATATCAATCCAGCTTGGATTCAATCAGGTAAAAAAGAGACCCATTCAAAAAATATTAGCAAAGACTATAGGCGGCCCCGACTTCTTCTGATGATATACCATTTATATTGTCTGCAGAGGATGCCAAATGATGACAAATTTTCCATTCCAGATATCTTTGTAAATAATGAACCGAATTGAACCGTTTTTGGACTGATATCCCTTTACAGAGATATAATTTTGATAATATTGTAGTTTGCAAATCCCTCACGTGACAATCAGCGGCTTTAACTAATAACATTATAATAAATCTACAGTCACATCCAATATTTGCATAGTGTTAAAACATAATATATTGTGGCTATTTATAGCTTGCATCTCAAAACTACCAGTTTTTCTGTTTCAAAAGGTGTGACAGAGGCAATGATGAATGAACCCATTTTAATAGCCTCCTGCTTTCTTCGACAGGATCACACATATTAAGACAAAACAATCTAGACTAACAAGTACTTGATAATCAAGGATCAAGTGTTTAAACCACTACAACATTGGTTTGTGTCAATTTAAAAAAAGTTGGACAAAGTTGTAATTTGAATATTTTCATAAAGAGGCATTAGCACTTCGGAAGACTTTACAGATACGGTACACCAGATATCTTTATATTAAATAGCAAGCAAAATTTGACTAAAGCCTGCCCAGCTATTCCCAAGCTTTTGTAATTTTCAAGGTCCATTGACACAAACTTGTGAAACAACCCTAACTCTAGGTGCATCTGTGCATGGATTTTTGACAATCAGAGAAGTCTAATGTTATTTTGAATATATTCATTATTGACTCCTTTTTTTTTTCTTTTTGGTGAGAGTAATAATGCCTCTTTAAGGTTGGCCCCTTTAAATTCTATAACATAAAACACAATACTGAATATTGACAATATAAAGACTGGAAGATGTTTTGATAAACATTATCCAGTCTAAGTAAAAATGATATAAAACTATTTAAACTTTGTCATGGTTTAGAAAATTGTGGCCTAAATGTTCTCTTTGATCACATATAGGGAGTATATAATTTTCAAGTTTTATTACATAACAAAAGTATGATGACATATAGGCCAATATGAATCAACATGAAAGCAAAATAGGAGCTCACATTAAATTTAAAAATGGAGTTTACATTGAATGCAAAAATTGAATTCACATTGAAGGCTAAAATGGATTATGGTTTTAAATTATTTGTATGCATGAAGTAATGAAATCTTTAAAGGCCTTCTCATTTGGTCAATATGCCATCAAGAACTACAACTGAGCAATTCCCTTTTAAGATTAATTAATACCAGAAAACCTTTAAAATGACCTTATATTTAGGAGTATTTGATGTATCCATAAACATGTTAATTACAAGACCCGTCAACCCCTAAGAGCTGCAATTAATGCAGTAGGGTGGTGTAAAAAGTAGAAACCATGATTTGGCAGTAAATTCAAAGCGCATAAATTCGCACTTCCAAGGGTAATTAATATAGAAATGATACAATGAAGTAGGCCCAATGACACAAAAAATGGATTAAATTGTTAAATAATTAGTTTAAATGGGTAATAAGATATAAAATAAAGACAAGCAATGGTAACCATATAAAATTACGTAATTAATCAAATGACTATAATTTAAAAATTGAATATGTAGTCTACAGAAATAAATAATGTCAAATATAATCTACAATTACCACTTGTGCTTGTGTTCATCATTCTGGAGTTTTTTGTCAATTTAGATAATTGGCTTGGTGTGCTTTTATCAGACTTTATAGAAAATTGTTTTGCAAAACGCCTAATAGTAATATTGACATCATTCAATTTAATCAGGCCCCCCCCCCCCCAATGCCATTTCACAATGTAGATCTATGGAAATTTTTTCTGCCAGATTCCGAAAATCTGTTATTACATTTATTCAAAAGAGCGTTCTGAATTGGTGAGACTTATTCCCATCTTATTCCCAATATAGTTTCAGGTTTTGTTGTATTCGAAATATTGTATTTGATGCTGTATGCGTGTCTACTAAAATGTCGGCCCTTGCTTATTTTATTCAATACACATTTTAAGAGTATTGGAACACGTGTCAATATTTATATCCGCTTTATTAACTCTAAAATACGTTGAAAACTATTTTGATTACATATCTAATAGCTTAATTACACCGTACAATTACCCCAAATCGATGTTGATAACCAAAAGTTGTGATCTTTTTTGCTTACATGCAATGAGTTGTGTCCCTTAGTTTTGGCGAGAAATTTAAAAAACTTTGTTTGAAAATATGGTAGAAATCTTATTACTGTACAATAGAGCGGTACATGAGGACTATTCGTGGCAATCTACCGTGTGATGCGGTAGTATTGATAGATCACTTAATTACTGTAGATCAAGAATTCTATTGCAGAGTAAATTCCCAACATATATCATATTAAATATACGGCTGGAAAATCATACACAATCAAAAGTATTTTTATTGAAACAGATTCGAGTCCTAAAATTTCAAATTGATCAATAATAGCTTTATGGCCATTTTACATTCGTTTCTATTGTTTTCACATAGCCATATTTATGTCTCTTAGAAATTTATAGGATCCGAATTTATGATGCTATTGTAAGTTGAAAACCTTCTCATTCTTCATGAATTTTTATTTTTATACTTAGATTGTGCTTTATAACATAACAGCAGTTTGTAAATAAAAATTGTATGCACAATTTGCTTTATGAAAAAATACCATGCTGCTAAATTTTGGGTTGTTTTATAAAAAACACCAATGTAACTATGGACAAATGATGGTGGGCAGTGCTGAGCAGGAGGCATTATAACCAGCTGCTAAAGTTCTTATTTATTAAATAAAAAGAATGCCAGGCACTATAAAATACTGTTTTGTTTTTCATTCATTCATTGTTTTGCATATAAAAACTATCACAATATTACAATGTATACACTACTGAGTGCTAGGCGCTATGGATCTATGCACTGGTTTCCTTGACAACCGTTTCCCAATAGTTTCAACATGGAATCCTATTTCAATTAAAGCTTCATGGTCCAAAATAATTCGCCCGTCAAATATAAATGCTGGCTTCAACATCTTCTGATAGATTTTGTGATAATCTAAGGTCTAAAAATAAACAAAGATAATAAATCATAATGGCATTAATTTCAGTGTACATTTTTGTTTTGTTACGCGAATCCTTTAATTCAATTTTATTGTCAAACCTAGGACCCCTCAAAACAATACAATAATAAACAGACATTATTAGATTATAAGGGGGGTTGGGTGGCCGAATGGTTAGCAAATGCGCGCTGTATCTTAAGGTCTGTCATTGAGTCAACTGGCATGTTTTCGATTCCCCAGTTGTATGTGACAAGGAGTAGGGTCGCCTGTCCACCCTTGTGGGTTTTCTCCGGGTCCTCCCACTGCCAAAGACCCCCTACACACAAGCGAATTAAAATTGAACCACCATTAAACCGAATGGTTTAACATGTGCACGTTAGATTAAAAGGTCTGTCATTAAGTCAAGTGCATGGTTTTGATACCCCACTTGTACATGACAAGGAATAGGTGCACATGTCCAACTTTGTGAATTTTCTCCGGGTCCTCCAGCTTCCTCCCGCTGGTAAAGTCCCCTACACGCCACAAATTATCGAAATAATATTGAACAATATGCTAGTCCTGAAATGACCAAGTTGGTGTAAAATGGACGTTAAACCCCATTTATTTCTCTATATAGTGTGTCTAGGGACATTATTTAGATTAAAGTGTTTGCAGGTAATGGATACACGATTACCAGCAGCTTTTTGAAAGATGGTTACAAGTTTATGCATGAAACTGATGGGCAGATCTGAATTTTGATAGTGTTCATACTTTTTATGATTAGTTAGTCATCGTGCTTGGAAAAAAATCTCTGACCTGTCCAGTGTTTACAAGATTTTGATTATGGGGGCAGGAATTCTGTGAAAAATCATTACGCTATGTAAAATTGTAATTGGGTTCCTCCTTAGGAATAAATGAAGAATTCCAAACAAAATCTTTTTTTTTTTTTTTTTTTTTTGAAACTGTAGTAGGCCTACAGTTATATGTTTTGGTCTAAGAGGGAGTAATCCTGTTAAAAAGCCTTGTGCAACTATGAATTTTGATAGATTTTAGTTTTAGGCAACTGTTATTGTGTTAATATAAGAAAAATCAGTCATACACTAAATACTGGAGTATATACTTACTTTAAATTCATCCCATTCTGTACAAACTATTAATGCATGACTACCTTCTGCTGCTTCATAAGGATTCTGATGTATGGTCACTAACTTAGAAACTGAAAACATAAAAACAATCCTATTGCTACATTATGTAAACTAAGGAGAGCTGTTTTTACACAGACTTAGCCTGTTTTTCCAATCTCTATTTCCATTTGTCTGTATTTATTGTGATATGACCATTTACGTGTTCCAATGACAATATAGTAAGCCCCCCCAAAAATCCCATGGGATTTGACATTGTCTTTCCTGCACCAATTAGGCTAATGACGATGGACATACGTCATGTAATGTGCTATGAGGGAATTGTGTATGGACAAAGGCGCTATGAACTACTCTTATATCGAATTGACTCTGTCAAGGGTTCTTTTACGTGCAAGCCAATGTGTACACGGAATCTCTGTTTTCATCCCATCCGAACAACTATACATTGTCCCTTTCCAGGCCCTCCGTCCTGCACCATGTTGGAAAATCCTGATGATCTTTCTCAATCAACATCGGGATCGAACACAGGGCCTCCAGGTTAGCGAAGTCAACGTCATACTCACTGAGCCACTGCCGACCCCAAACTAGTAAACATTTAAACTTCTGCTTAAGAACCATGGCCCATCGTAAATCAAAATAACTTAATACTTTAGATCCAAGAGTTTTAGCTTTCTCTTTTTATAGAATATTTTTGGGTGCAGTCTTCATATTGAAATTCTACGCCTTCTAGTTTGGGACCATTTTGACAAAAGTTTGAGAGAAAAAAAGTCTCAATAAATTAGACACATAGATAGAATTTAATGATTCGGTGACAGGGGAGGTAACCCGGTGAATAAAATCTTTGTATAGTGTTCCTTCTTAGGACTAACCAAACAATCCCAGCAAATTAGGAATAAACATACTAAAATCTGACAAGGGCAGTAACATTGCAAAGAATCACTTTGCTACTCTGATTCCTCCTTCTGGACGAGATGAACCATCCTAGCAAACTTGAACAAGAGCCATAACTCTGGAAGTAATTATCGGAAATCGCTGAAAATTAACAACCTTCTTCATCTTATGACCATAAACACTGTATATAAGTCAATCGGATAATAAGTTTAGCCTCTAAAGCATCCCCCTGACTTTTTGTCAAGGGCAATGACGACTAGCGTAGTATTTCTCAGACAGCAATTTAATGTGTGCGTATAAAAATGTATTTTCCACACTGAATTTTGTTGAATATTGACATGGTTTTAACTTGTATTGCTGATAAATTACATGCAGCTGGTACTACCATATAATCAATATTCTAATATAATATACATTTATAACCATTATTTAAAATATAATAAATATCTAATACCAACCTCTACTAGGATCTTCTGATATACATGGATGCGTTAATTCTCTAAAAAAATAATTTAAACATGAAATCAGATAATTATTCAAATAAAATATCATTAAATCATGCACCGTTAAAAACCATATAATTATATCATTTTCCAATGAAAGCTGTTTCTTTCATTTATTTTGTATCTTTAATAAATAACAAATGTTTAAACTAAATCAATAAAATGTTTTGTGTGAATATTATACATTAATAAAATTGTTTAGTGTCTCAATAAAATTATTTTGTGCCTAGGAAATTATTTTGTGTAAATATAAAGTAGACTATATGTAAACTGAATAAATCAATAATTTTCCTTTTTTAACAATAGATATTTAGTCAAGTAAAATGCAATAGAAGGGGATGAGTGAAGCAGTACCACCTGGGAGACATTTTGAGAGAGGGGGGTATCATAATACTGGTAAGTCTAATCAACTGAAAACAAGATGGGTTTTTTTTCTGCAGGGCGGGGTGGTGAAAAAATGCTATTTACACATGGCAATGCTATTTTTTCTCAATGTACATATTGAGTTTTTCAACAAAAAGACACTAATATTGATTGAAGTGCAGTTGGTAAACAATCATCCTATTAAAATATAAAATGAAATGGGGTTTAACGTCCTACTGCTCCGCTCCGATCTGGGCTAATAAAGACGGGCACATGCCATACAATATCCTATGAGGGAAAATTTTGCCCTGACAGTGGCACTATGGCCTACTCTTATATCGAATTCCAACTGTCAAGGGATCTTTTACATGCACGACAGTGTGTACACGGGACCGTGGTTTTCCGTCACATCCGAACGACTGGACAGCTGTCCTTGTCAGGCCCTCCGTCCTGCATTACTGACAAGGGTTAACCATGCCGGAAAATCTGGATGAACTTTCTCGGCCAATGCTGGGATCAAACACCCGAGCTCCAGACTAGCGAGCCAGCATCTTATCCACTTAGCCACCGTGACCCCCCATTAAAATAAGAGATCCTACAGGTATTCTTCTATCTATAAATTCCACTTACCTCAATATTTGACTTTTTTCAACTTTAGGGTCATAAATTCTTAACCTTGCCTCTTCATCCATTAAATATTTACTTAAATAAATCGCTGCAGATTCTCTGAAAATAAAGACCCCAAAAATTTAAAATTTGAATTCAAGTTGCAAAAAAAAAAAGTAAAATGAAAAAAGTAATTAAGCTTTGTGTAAACTTTTCAAATAAATTAGAAATAGTATCAGGTTCAGTTGACCTGGAAAAGTATAAGAAGTGCTGCTACAGCCTATTCTTATTCCAAATTGTAACTATCAAGGGTTCTTTTATGTTCATGCCAATGTGAACACAGTTTTTTCCCAATGTGAACACAGGTTAGTGATAATCAAGACAAAACTAAACATAAGTTGTTCTTACCTTGTATCTCCCGTATCTTTTTTAAAAGCAAAACCTAATATTGTGATATTTTTATCTGTAACTGTATTAAATAAACTTTCTACAACTCGATTAGCAAATCGTTGTCTCTGGTAATCGTTAATATCTACAACCTGTGTATTAAAATAGTATTACAGTTTATTATCATTATATTATTGTAAACAGCTAAACTATGGAATTGGAATGAAGAATGTAGAAATCCCTTCATGATTCTTTTAAATATCCTATTTCCTACCCTTATTTTAATATTCCTGCTTCCTTTATATTCCAAGCCTCAGCCTGAACAAAGGAGAAATTGATCAGACCATGACATGATTAAATTGAACACACTTTGCAATGAATAAATTGATCAGACGTTGCCATGATTAAATTGACCACACTTTGCAATGATTAAATTGATCGGACCTTGCCATGATCAAATTGATCAGACCTTGCCATGATCAAATTGATCAGACCTTGCCATGATTAAATTGATCGGACCTTGCCATGATTAAATTGATTGGACTTTGCCATGATTATATTGACCAGACCTTGTCTTGATTAAATTTTTTATTTCATGTGAGTCTAGGTGTGCTAATTGCTTGCTTGCTTTTCTTGTCAAGGTCTGTAGGATCTGGACTGGATTGAATAATATTTGTTCTATCGTAAGTGCAGGGGCACCGCACCACACACAAACAATAAAACAAGACAAACCTATAGACGAGACACAATATACAGTCATGACAAACAACAAAAGCACATGTCAGATCAAGTGCTGTAAGCATGCACCATAAATCACTTTAAAATAAATTATTTAGCTTCATCTCAGAATAGAACAAACACCACCTGGTGTAAATACAGTTTTTTGGAAATAACATACTAGTTGAGCTGTAAATAACATTAAAACATCTACACAGTTTATATTAAAATGTATTCAGATATCCTCAATTGATACCTTTTAATATCCATATGAATTTATTGATTTCAATGAAATAAATGTAACAATACCTGTTGCCAATAAGCTGCTGCTTCTGGTAAATTTAAACATTCACATAAATATACTAGATTTAACACATCTTTTTGAAAACAACTACCACCAAAACCTAGAAACGGTTAAAAAATAATGGTATTTTAATGTTTGTTGCCCGACTCAGAGAGCTGTCCATTGAGTTGTATTTAATTTCAATACTCTGTTCTCCACACCCTTTCTTCACTAGCCCAGTCGAGGCAGAACATGTCAATTTAATGTTTGTCGCCCGGCTCAGAGGACTGCCCATTAAGTTGTATTTAATTTCAATACTCTGTTCTCCAGACTCCATCTTCATTAGCTCAGTCAGAGCAGAATACAGAATATACTGTCACAAGATTGTAGTTTGCAAGAGATTAACCATCCCTCAAATCCAACTGGCGTGGTTTCGAATCCCCGGATGTATGTGACAAAGAGTAGGGTTGCCTGTCCAGCTTCGTGGGTTTTTCCCCCGGATAATCTGGTTTCCTCCCACTGCTAAGGACCCCTACGCACAAGCCAATTATTGAAATAAAATTAAACCATATGTTAGTCCCAAAATGACCTAGTCTGTGTTGAGTGGACGTTAAACCCCATTTCTCTCTCTCCATCCCTCAAATCACGATTAGAGACTTAAGATAATGAATATATTAGTGAAATCATCAACATCACCAGACCTTTCACTATAATGTTTCTGAATTGATAAAGAGTGTTGTTGTGAGGTAATCAGTCAAATTTGATCATTTTTTGCCTAGAGATAATTGTTTATTATGTATTTACACTTTCAATAGCACAATTACTCGTTCTAGTTATTTTATTTAGAATGATGCATGAAAGAGCGTGCCTAGAAATTTGTTAAAAATGTTTTCAGTAGCAGTCATTGTTATCTAGCTTAAAGCATAGTAAAAGATAATTGGACTATTTCCTTTAAGAGCGAATTGAGATGTACTCACCAACACTGGCCTTTAAGAATTTCGATCCTATCCGACTATCGGTACCAATAGCATTAGCTACCTCTGATACATCAGCACCTGTAGCCTCACATATAGCAGATATAGCATTTATACTGGATATTCTTTGAGCTAAAAATGCATTGGCAGCCTATAATAAAGAAAGATCTCAATATGATAGTCTATGGGGATTTCTCATATAAGAAGTGGTAGCAGGGTTTCTAGAAAGAAATTTACTTAACAAATTTTTTTTTACATCCTCAACATCCCTAGTGAAAGTGTTAAGATTCTAGAATAGAACAATCATGACTGGGAATACCGAGGGTGAAAATGATACTATGATATGATAAGACATGAAACAAATGGACATGTATAATATCTGGTTGACCCTCTCTTCATTAGACATTTTTATCATTTAACCCTTTAAGTACCAGATGCAAATATTGTAAATAACATGAAATTTACTGAAGCTTTTTTCTATGATACCATATACATTGAAATTTACATGCTTATTTTTATGAAAAGATAGGTTGCCAGGCAATGAAATATGTGTCCATATCAACTAAGTTGTCCAAGCAGTCCACAAAGATTATATAGCATATCTATTCTTTTGTAGGTAATGGAGAAATTATTCCATTGAAAATTCAGAGGTAGCTTTGAATAGGGACTCACACGATGACTGAAACAAATCTTACCAATTTGGAGAGTTCTGAAGACCAAGTATTCATTACAATAATTTTTTCTCTAGGAATCCAATGTTCATAGATCCAACAGAGAGCTTCAATAGCCTCTTGACCTAGACTATTTTTTTCTCCTCCTATTAAAACACGGTCGGGATCTAATACATCACTAACAGCAGTTCCTTCTGCTAAAAACTCAGGATTAGATAAAACCTACAAATAAACAGGACTCATTTCAAAATTTATTCCAGTCATATAGGTTGTTAAGATGCAAGCTGAACCAAATAAAAAATTTGTACAAGACAAAATAAATACAAACTATATAAAAATGTAATACAAATTGTATAAAAATTTAATACAAACCATATCAAAATATAATTCAAGCCATATGAAATATTTTTCAAACCATATTAAATTCAATATATCAGGTACATTTTCTTATTAAAACATCAATTTATTTTCAAATGTAACAATTTTTAAGTTCAAATTGCCTTACTGGTTAATTTCTAGAAAACCTTTATCATAAGCCCTGTGATATATTTTTAAGTCATAAAATTCTACGTCATGTAAGTGCCTGTAAACCATGTCTATATATACCTGCCAAAATTATATTGGTAACTAATTGTCTTGATTGTCAAGTCATTCATAGTCATATAACTGTAGAATGAAATCCCTAAAAGTCTTCCGTAACAATTTTCTATAAATCTAATAAATGTTTCCAAAGGGTTAAATAATTTGAACTGAAAATTTTCTGACACGGTAAAGAAGCTATATCGTCACATATTGGTGCTTGGTTTACATAGTTAAAACCAGTTATATTTATATCTTCCTATGAAACCTTGGATGGTCCCTTTAACTTAACTGTCTATTGAATTTCTAAATTTTCTTACTTGATATTTGACTCCAGGTTTGACATTAGCTTGTAAAATGTTACTAATACTTTGAGCCGCTTTAACAGGTACGGTACTCTTCTCGACAACAATCTTGGAACTTTTAGATACATCTGCTATTCTTCTAGCAGCTGCTTCTATATACTTCAAGTCTGCTGCACGACCCTTTAAAACGATGAAAGCAATAAGTGAGTTAATTATATTAAAGCCTTTTTCGACTTTGTTACGGTTATTTTGAGTCTAATAGTGGAGTAAAATGAGGTTTTAACGTCCCCTCAACACAATACTTAAATTAAGAAGAGTGAAGTGAAATTAACTCTTTCGATGAATAAGGTGGGTTTTTTTCATCAGTATGTAGACTGCAGTTACAATAAGATCATTCAAAATAATTTTCTAGTTGTCCAATATCATCGTGTAACTTAAAAGGGCTGCATAACATTTTTCAGTTTCAAAAATAAAGACCTCCTCATTGAATAACCCACATTCATATTTCCTGTGTTCATATTAAATCTACTAAGTTTCCATTTCAATTTGGAAGTGTCCAGTAGGCTCAATTATCAGGTACACAACCCTGATATACATTACTGACAAACCTACATGGCACTGGACAACCATAAATTGACTTATAGTTACCGTGAAATGGTGAACATTGAATAATCTGCGTAATATTTATTGTGTTATATAATATGCTGATTGTTATAGAATATATTTTCGATAATATCAAATCACAGAAAAATAAAAGAAAGGTGATTCTACTACCACTTTAAAATAAATAACGTGCATGTTCTGTGAAAAGATTGAATGTATGAAATTGCCTGAATTGATGTTGTTATGTTTACAAATATATCAATAAGACATATCAATTAATTTTCATCTTCTATTTCAAAATATTTATTATTGATGAATCTGAATCAAACGGTGTCAGCCTTTGTTTAATATTTCATAAGCTCAGATAATTAATCTATACTATCCCACACACTGGCTTTACTGGATGTTTTGACACACCTTTCTTGACAAGTGGAAAACTCCAGGTCTTGTAATTAGGTCTCATCAGTTAAAATTCTTTTATTTGGTAAATAAGCTGTTAACCCTTTAATGTCTAAACATTGCTATTGAAGTTTCATTTAATAAAATCTGAGCAAAATGAATTGTTAACCCTTTAATGTCCAGACATTGCTATTTAAAGATACATTATGGGAGATTTTAATAGAGAGATGGCCAGGCCATTCTTGCTATAAAAGTTCAAAAATAGATGATGAAAGAAGAATATATTGAAAATTTCAGTCAAATTACTTTATTCTGAACAAAGTTATCACTATTGTAATTTTTGACTAGAAATAGGAGTCAACTCTCCCTTCACCGTCTCCGAGAATATACAATTGTTTGATTGACAGGCGTTAACTCCACCTACATAATCTCGATTATCAAGTAACGTTTTCAATGGCTGTGGTTTGAGACGGGGTTGCAATTCAATTCGTATCACATTTATTTTTACTGCAAATTAAAAATAAGACTTTTCATATATAGATAAGAAGCGAAAGTTTGAAAGGAATGGATCAAATCAATGAGGCATAATTATAGCCGACTTCTTGTTAGCCTGCATGTACTCTTTCTTGTACTGTAACTGGTAGGCCTACAGTCCGTAACTCTCGAACAGGGATCCAATGGAGCTGCAATTCAACTGGGGTGATGTTACTGTTAGCTGTGATGTTTATCAATTTCTATAATTTTTCTGTAAACGCAAGTGACAAAAGACCGTATAATACCGACATCCAACCTCTCATTTTAACCACAACTAAACATAATATCAAGGCTGTATATATCAAACTTTCAGTCAAATTGACTGACATGCGGCCGCCTCGCTTCGTACAATCTATCATTTAGCCTCGATCTAAAATTATTTCCGGGAGTATGACGTCAACGTAACGGTTAATCTCCGCTTACGACGCCATTTAAAAATTTAATCAATCAACGAAATCCTGTTTAAATCCAAGCCGAATCCAAGCCATCCGTGGGTCTACAGAGTTGATTTTGTGCTTGTTGTGTAAATAAAGATCTAATTTATAATTTCTATGACATCTGAAGCCTAAATAAAGACTTGTAATAATCAGATTTAGCTCTTGCATAATGTATGTTTAAGTTTCATTTAATAAAATCGAAAATCCGAGAAAAATCTGGAAATGAATGGGTTATACTTAACAGTACTTTATCAATGATAAGAATATTTTTAACAGATAAAAACTGTGAAAGTTTGATAACTATGGCATGAAGATTTTAAATAAACCTAAAAATAATTATGTCCTACCAAGGGTATAATTAAAGTCCATATGTCCAGTGCCATAATCACATGACTACCATTAAAGTAAAGAAACTATTGACTTACATCAGAGAAATAGAATGAAATCAAAATAACTCTTGGCATTTAATCCTTCAGATCAGAAGAGCTATAGGTTTGGCATGAAATGTGATTCTGTTCAAAGAAATGATATGGGGTTTAACATCCTAATCCAACTGGGATAATAAAGATGGGCATACGCCATACAGTGTGCTATGGATGGAAATTTTGTACAGACAGCGGTGTTATGGCCTACTTTTATTTCTAATTCCAACTGTCAACGGTTCTTTTATGTGCACACCAATGTGGACATGGGACCATATACTTATAATATCTGGTTATTTTTCTCATTCAACCCTTTACGTACCAGATGCAAAAATTCCAACTGCCAAGGGATCTTTTACATGCACGACAATGTGTACACAGGACCTCAGGTTTTTGTCCCATCCAAACGAATATACATTGTCCCTTGCCAGACTCTCTACCCTGCAACACTGACAAAGTCCAACCACGCCAGAAAATCCTGATGAACATTCTCGGCCAACACCGGGATCAAACACAGGACCTCCAGTTTAGCGACCCAATGTCTTACTCACTGAGCCAACGCGGCTCCTCTGTTCAATGAATATAAAATAAAGAGTTACCTTTCCAATGCCAAAGTTTTTAGTGGGAGTATTGACACAGATAAAGATGAGATCAGCTTCTTGTATAGCAGTATCTATATCTGTAGAAAATGATAAATTTCTTCCACGACATGATTTTACTACATCATCTAAACCAGGCTAAAAGATGAAGGAAAAATACAATCAATGATGTATTATATCTTTTTTAATGTACAAAGAACATAGAATAAGTTTTTTTTTTGTTTGTTATGTCATGGTTTTTGTTCCTCATTAAAGATGCATTATGTAATAGTCTGGACTTTTTTCTGGCTTCAAATGTTATATAAATTATTAACATTTATTAAAAAGGCATTTATGTAAGAGCTAAATCTACCTATTGCAGGTCTTTCTTTGAGAATTAAATGTTATACAAATTATTAATTAGATATTTATTAACATGACAAGACCATAATCAACTTCAAAAACTCATAACTTCACAGAGAATAAGATAATTTGACTGAAATTTTCAAGATATTAATTTCTCATTATTTATTTTTGAAATATTATAGCAAGAATGGTCAGCTCCTTATCTGATTCATACATAATGCATCTTTAATGTACCGGTATGTTATACAAAATACAGTAATCATCCTAACCATCACAATATCTGGGCTACCCAGGTATTACTGTAAAATCTATAGTAGCCAGTGGCGACTCTTCAGCTTTTTTCATCTTAGGATTTTATTAAAAACAAATTGATGAGTATTTCTAAAATACTGTTAGAATTTATGCAAAAGGGTCAGAAAGAACATGGTTGTCAGTAATGGCTGAAACATGTTAGTAACTTGTGAAACCTTGTTGAAACGTCGCAGTGAAATAAACCATAGTAATTGTTATCCATAAAAGTGTGTTTTTGATTATGTTCCAATTACTAAATGCCATTCAAAGAATAGAATATGTTAGTAACTGAACCGTGCACCCTGACGTTCCTCATGTTTTTCAGTAAATTCAATTGTTAAAAACACTTATATGGATATACTACTTCTGAATTTATTAACATGCTACGTTTCAATACACATAAAGATATCATTATTTGCTTGATAAATATATCTGTATGTGTATCGAAGCGTAGCATATTAATAAATTCAGAAGTAGTATATATATATAAGTGTTTTTAATTTGTGAAATCTACTTCTATATGTCTTATAAGGATTAAATTATAAATTCAATTGTGACGGTATTTTTGAAATTCATTCCACTTTCCTTCATTTTTAATATTATATAAACATAAGAATATAGACCAAGTTGCTGTGTTGTTACGGGTATAACCATGGATTTTACAATGGATATAATCATGGACCTTATAATACAACTTCCATGATGTAATAATATGAATATTGACATCTCATTAAATTTGACATTATGGCACTTCAAGGAAACAAGTACAAAAAGAAGTACAAAACAGGAATGAATTACGGGTAGACCACAGTTGAGCGAAAAATGCATCAGTGTACTTTCAAATGTCAGAGCAATATTTGAATTAAAGTGCACATGTTATTATTAAAATTGAGTCACATAAAAACTGCATTTGTCATATTTCTTTGCCACTGTTAATGCCCAAGTATGCCTCTAAAAGAAATCAAAGCTTTAGCACCAATGCAAGTTTAGAAATATATTTTTCTTTGATTTGACCTTTCTAAAATTGTGCAACTTTATTAAAAAAATAAACAAAAATCTGGTTCTAGTTGCCTATGAGTATTTAAAACACGATTTACCCTTTCTAAAAATTAAAAACTTCATGCTAACTAAACAAATAAGTTTTACATTTAGTTGTTTTAAATTTATACCACCTTCCATCATAACGAACCTCATAGAGTGGCAGGTGATCAGAATTCCATTGTTTTATTCTTTCTTCACTAAGATCAACAACTGTGACTTGTATTGCTGGACATTTACTGGCTATAACGGCACAAGATGGTCCACCAACATAGCCAGCACCTATACAACATATCTTCTTTAACGTCATCTTCCACGTACTGTAATTAAAAACAAATTGAGACTAACAGTATTAATTTTTAATGATAGGTCAGAAAAACATCAGCATTTTTAAGCCAGCCATGCCCACGAGTAACGTTTTCCTTTCTCCGAATCTTGTCAAAAATCAATAACTTGCCCGTAGACTGATCAAAATAGTTGATACATTATACAACTTCTGTTTCTACTTCAATGAAAAGTTTTAACTGTTATACATTATTAGTCAAATGAGCATTTTTGATAGTTCTGAAATGGCATACGCCTACAGTGTGGATATAAAAATTTGTGAGAACTAACAAATGTCTCATATGCTGTTCAGTTGCTTAAGTTAAAACTGCCAGTGATGATGATAAGGTTTAATTTCTGAAATCTCAATGCAATGGTAATAAACCCAGCTCCATAGTCAAAATAAACAGAAAAATAAGCTTGCGTTCAGGCAACAAAGTCAAGGTAGCATAACTAAGAATTTAAACTAGCTTAACATAAGCATCTAATCTGTTTATATACTAAATAACTTATGGATAATTGCTGATGTATCAGATATTTTTATTATAAAATCGTCAATATTTCCAAACAATTACTCAAGCTTTAAAAGTGAAAAACTAAAAATAACCACAAACTGATTTTGGTTAATCAAGAACACAACATATAATCATCTGGAAATTTTAGCATATTTTTAGAATCAAATGACTACTTACATACAAGTATTCATTTTTGAAAATTCAACCTTTTTGTAAACTTGTTAAAATATATAAATGTAGTAACAAAGCTGTGTGACATGTTAGTTCATGGATCATCTGTCATCTATTAAGCTATGAAAATACAAGTCATTGCCTGGGAACATTAACAGTCTACATTTCCCATCTAGTGACTTGCATTCAAGTCCTACATACAGAGCTTGCATTTATTTGACATCAGACTAGAGTAACTTCAAGCCTTTTAAAAAGGCATTATTATGGTATTATATTATAATTATTTAAGACAATATTGGTTTTAAGTATTATGAAAAGCCAGGAGTTAATACAATTTCAATTTTAAATCTCTTAGACACCTGCAACTAACAGAATGTAGTAATACCAGTACTCTGACATTTGACACTATGCCATAAAACACATAACTAGGGCCTAAAAATAATATACTGATTTCTCTATCAGACATCCACTAGTTTAAGCACTATATATTTTCAGTCAAAACAGTCAAAAAAACATTAAATTCTTATAGGTGTAGCAGTAGTCTAGTCTGTATTCACTTTATCCATAAAATATTCGGTTTTTAATCCAGGTCAATATAACCCTAGACATACAAAATATTTTCTGTCTACTTTAAAGCAGCACACTATATAATGCATGTGTCCCATGACTGGATTGTTTTCTTCTTGAAAGTAAAAAACTGATTCTGTGAATCTGTACCATGACATTTTTTTCTAATACTCTTTATCTCCAGGTTTGAATCAATGGATATAGACCTAAAATTTTGACCACAATCCTATATGAACATACTAGACACAAGGTTAATAAATTATCAATGCGTCAAATCATGGCAAGACAAGATATTTTCTTTAAAAAAAACTGGATGAACTTAGATGCAAGATGCCCACTTTAATCCTAGGTCACAACCCACCATACATGCTACTACGGGCAGTCTACGGGGGAAATTTAAATAAACCTGTGCGTGAGACTTATGCAAAGCCTGAATCTGTGCCTGACATTGTCTATAACAGGTGCCTTGTTATTTCCAGGCATGATTAACATCCCAAACAAACCCTAGTTGGACTCAACTTATTATTGAATATCCAAGTACTACTAGCCCTCACACAGTATGGTGTGGTACCATATTTTTAAAAGACGTTCATTAGACTCCTTAAAAATAACATAAAAAAACAATGTGTGAGGACTATTACTTGGATATTTGATAATTATTTGAGTCTAAAGTTATTTCATATCATTTTACAAACTCACATACAGAAAGTTTTAAAAGGACTCAATTTAATTTGCACATCCCCGACATGACTGGAAATCCCTGACATGACTAGACAGTCAAATCACTCAAAATAGCAAACACTTTCTAACCAAGTGGTTTAAGACCACCAAAGCGCTCATGCTTCATTATGCTATCTAAATCAGACATACAAAAAATGAACTTAAACTGCCCCCCAAACCCTGTAAAACCCATTGTAAATCAGCTGTCTATGTCACACTCAAGAGAACACAAAAACTAGAGAAAATTATCATAATACAATAAAATCACAAACCTTAAATACATCATAATATTGTTATAGATTAGATCGTAGCTATCAGTTGACAGTCAGACTATATTGTGTGAATTGTAGATATACCTGTAACGTATACTCCATTTATGACAGCTGGAATTCAATACACTATAAACAGCCCCATTTAGTGATACATCTAATGCATCAAAAACTATAGATTGTATATATGTATAAATATATCACCGATATGTGGCGTACTATTGACTGAAGTGTTATAGGAAATAGATTATAAAAAAAATTTAATACCTCATTATTTACACAACAATGAAAAAAGTTGACAAATTAAAAAGAGGTCTTCATAGCCTGTTCAATAGGGAACCTTATAATTTTCATAATGCAAAGAGCTGTCAATAAAAAGAGATCTATTTCAAGTTCATTTATTATAAGCTATAACGTGAAAAGCCTGAATATATTACAGGTAATATGTTTCGTGCAATTCTCTTGTATAGTCTCTTGGGAGCCACGGAGGTCCCATGTTCAATTCGTGTTTAAGCTAAGCAAGTTTGACAGCGGTGCAGAGCAAATGGCAATGTATAGTTGTTTGGATGGGACAAAAAACTGAGGTCCTGTGTGCATATTGGCATGCACATAAAAGAACCCATGACAGATATAATTCGAAATAAGAGCAGGCCGTAGTGCCACGGTCTGGGCAAAATTTCCCTCAATGCACAGTGCATGGTGTCCATCTTCATTAGCTCAATTGGTGCCGAACAGTAGGATGTTAAATCCCATTTCATTTCATTTGAATTGTCTCTTATATGTGTTAAGACTTTGGAATCTGTCTGGCACTAGCTGTACCCAATCTTATTAAAATACAGATTTATATTTCATTTCGTTTTTTTTTTTAATACTCTCGATGGCCTCTACTACATGAAGATCTGACGGCTTTTGACCCTATGATGTCAGACCTTGATGTCTCTAGTCAGATACCCACAATTTGGTGCATCACACGCCAAGAACACACTGCAACAGACTGTTTCATTGGCTAATCCCTCACATCATAGTTAGTGTTAGTTGTATTTTACGGCCGCTTCCACCGAGGTGATATCGCATCAACCAGAATGTGGGTTATACAGCAACTCTTACAGATCCTAGTGTAGTAAAATCAAGTAAAACGAAATTTTGAACTATGAAAAATGAAACAAAATAGGCTCTGTGTTTTAATCAGATTAAGCTGTACCACTCAATAAATATAATATCTCACATGTAGGGAACATAATCCTGGGTAATCTTTTAGTATCTGGATAGAGTAATGAAGAATATTCTCTCAGTGTTATTAGACTAACACTCCTTGAAATGTTGCTTAAATTTATTAGTACTGGTTCAGTTTTCTATAAATTATAGTTTAAAAGCCAAGGTGAGGTTATACATGTACAATGTAGTTCATAATCTCAGGTTAAGTTATAGTTTATATTCCAAGGAGAACTTATAGTTTACAATCCCAGATTAAGTTATAGTTTATGATACTGGGCGAAGTTATAGTTTATTATAATCCTATATGAAGTTATAGTTTATAACCCAAGGCGAAGTTATAGTTTATATTCCCAGGTGAAATTATAGTTCATAATCCCATGTGAATTTATACTTTATAATCCTGGGTGAAGTTATAGTTTATATTCCTGGGGGAGTTGAAGTTTTAGTTTATATTCCCTGGGGAGTTGAAGTTTTAGTTTATAATCTCAGGTGTTACCTCAGGTAAGATATAAATAGTATTAGAGAAAGTGGGTGGACATAATCTGAAATTGATCCCTTTAATGAGACATACAAATAGAAAATCCATTGGGCGCACGCTTGAACGGTTGTTATGATATCAAATTCACCTGCTCTTCACTCAGTATTTAATTCTGCCCAATGTCTAGCTTTCCGGACTATGATTACACCAAGTATACCATACTCAATCATTTCCAATTTATTTTTCAGGGACAGAGCCACTGAAACTAGATTTATTTTATCTTTGCAATTCTAGGAATTCTTTATCTATAAAACATCAACACAAGCTTTGTTGAATTAAAGGACATTTTCTATATCAAATTACAATGGTTAACAAACAATTTAACAACCAATCAATTACCATACCTACTCGGTAATCAAAACAGCAAGGACTAACCAGAGTCATAATATGTTTTACAAATAAGAATGACAAAATTGAATACATCACGATGTTTGATTAAAGAGAGCAAGGAAAAATCCAAATGATCACAGATAATTGAAAGTAGTTAGACACAAGAAGTCTGTCTTGATAGTACACTGCTGTTTAGAATGTAAATTTATAACAAAATACTGTGAAGAGTATAATAAGTTTATTTGGGAATCCACCTGACATTTCGAAATAAAGATGTACCCAGTATTTATTTCCAGTTTTAAAAGACAAAAATAAAGATGAGTATCTATCAACGACCATCTATCTCAGTGTAGGTTATGCTTATTGTTGTACATTGTATACCTGCATTGTTATTTGATTAATTCCATTCCAGCCCCAACATGCCAGATGGTTAAATATTGTTTAAGACCTTACCTATTCAAAAGTATATATATCAAAAATTATGTTGGTCTAAAGATTCTTTAGATTGATCAACTGTAATTTAAAGCAGAGCTAGATCTCTTTACAGTCCAAATAAAGTATTGACTTTGGTTGTTTCGATTTGATGTGTCATTTTGACCTGTGATGGGGAGAGAGAGAGAGAGAGAGAGAGAGAGAGAGATGGGGTTTATCATCCACTCGACACAAACTAGGTTCAATTTTATTTCAATAGTTCACTGACGCGTAGGGGTATTTAGCAGTGGGAGGAAACCGGAAAACCCTGAGAAAACCCACAAGGTTGGACAGGCGACCCTACTCCTTGTCATGTACATCCGGGGAATCAAAACCTCGCCAATTTACTCAATAACAGACCTAATGATAAAATGCGCACATGCTAACCATTCGGCCACCCAACCCCTTAAGGCCTAAAGAAAGACCTACAATAGGCAAATTTTGCTTTTAAATAATGCATGTTTAACCAAGGCTTTCCCTTACATCTGATAATCTAGAGAGCAGGATATAGGCTTGTCATGTCTAAATAATAGTTTATATAACATAACCATTCAACAGGCAAGTTTAGCTCTTGCATAATGCCTCTTTAACTTTTTAGGTATTTGATTCATGTACATGTATGTAATATAAGTGAAATAGAGTAGAACTTGTGTATTCAGTCACTTGATTTCTTTATAAAGAAATTGATATGCACACCTTACTGTTAATGTTAAACAAACATGAATAGGGGTTCTCCAGTACTGCTTCAGGGTTTTTTTATTTGATTAAGTAGGATATATTTGAAAAGCTGATTATCGGCCAATATCCAATTTAAACTTCATTTCAAAGATATATAGATAAATGTTTGCACAGCAAAATACTTATCCTTAACAGCCTTCATGATCATTTCCAAAATAGAAATATTGAATATCACCAAATCTACTCTAATCAAGATTCATAATATTATTTGTCTGTTAAAAATGAAAATTGTGTAAGTATTGATAAGGTTGACCTTGTAATTCTTTTAGTTATGCTTCAGTTTGACTTCTGAATTACTGGTTCGTCCCTCAATCTTTTAAAAACTTATCTATAGGTGTCAATGTTAAACATGCAAAGATCAGGATTGGGTCCAATCCTGTTTAGTCTATACTGTGTGTACAACACCTAACTATAGACAAAATAGTTGGAATATCACATATATG